CTGCATCACAGAGTTTCATCATGTTGGAGGCCTGGGTCCGGCTTAGAAAACCCATGTCCCAGTTCTCGGTCTGGCCCAGGTGCCTGAGAACCATGGCTGGGAGCCACGCTCTTAGCATGTGGGAGCAGGAAGTGGCCTTAGAACACACACAGAGGTTCCCTTGCTTCTCATTTCAAAAACGCGGGTGCTGCCAACCACCTCCACACCTCACCCTTTTGGTATAAAAGCACTTTACAGAATCTGACAGGATAGACAGGAAGCTGTCTGGGTTCTTTGGAGGATATTTTACAGGCGACAGTGTGAGTGACTATAAGGGTAAGGTGTTAGTGGTCCACCAATCGGGACTTATGCATTTGATGGTAGATGGCCGTTGAGTGACGGGGAGGTGGTGGCACTGCAGATGGAGTGGACATTTTCAGAGGAAGGAGCAATGACAATAGCAAGTAATTTCGTTCCATTTTGCTCCAGTCCCCCACCGGACTTTGTGAGTGCAAGTTCCCAGAGGAGAGATTCTGCCCCTGGGCCCCGAGTAGTTCTCATCTGAGTAGACACCATGGTCTGTCGCCCTCAGAGTCCAGACTGAAGGGTGGCTTTGGAGGACATGGCCCACCTGGGGACAGGAGCCGTGCTCTCTGTGGCAGTGGATGGGACGAGAGCGCTCATCTAGGTGGTTCAGAGGTTTGGTTGCTTCTGCTTGACTTCACCCTCAATTAGTCAAGTGCTCTTGAGCAATAGTTCCACCTGTCTGAGCCTCAGTTTCTTTATCTGTCATGGTTGAAGCATTCCTTGCCCTTCCTGTCTCACTGACCTCAGTCAAATAATGGGTGTGTGCACGTTGGCTCAGATAACCCAACTTCTGATGTCAGGGTGCGGTTGCCTCCAGGGTGGCTGGATTAAGGAGACAATCTCTCCATCTCTCCTCTCCTCGGCTTCTCTGTGCCTGTCTTCCTTCTTAGACTAGAATCCCAGCTGCAGGCTCTTCTGCCTCCTGAAATCCTTGCGGCCTCACAACCAAAAAGAAGGGAGTCCTGGAAACTTTAAGTAGGAAGATTCCAGAATCAACTGTGACTGGGGGTGCAGTGGGTGGGATGAAGACGGGATACTTGAAAAGGTCCAGTTTGGGTCATGGGCCCATACCTGGTCCAATCACTGAGGCCCATGGCCATGAAGTAGATGACTGGTCCACAGAGACCAGGCTCACCCTTTGGCCAGGGAGAGAAGCACTGCGGCTGGGGACCCCCACCAGAACCCCAGGCTGTGCACTCTGGAGGGCCGATTGTGCCTCTTTTCTGACTTTGCATTTGAGTCCTATCCTAATACGCTATCGAGTGCCTGTTGTATGCCTCGAACATACAATATGCACTAAATAGCTTGGCAGTGACATCGCTGCCTCGCCAAGGTTGCCCGCCATGTGTGCCTGCCCCGTCTGTGAGTATCTTGTTTACTTAACCGCTGGCATTCTGCACGAGGATTCAAACTCCTCAGAAGTGGGGGACCTTGTCCGACTTGTTTACCATCGAGTCCTCAGAGCCTAACAGTGTCTGTTACAAATAATTGGTCAATTAATATTTGTGAAATGAAGGAAGGTCAACTGTCCCTGACGCACGGTGCTTCTTGGGAGGAGTCCCACTGTTATTTCAGGTTGCTCACTGCCTTCTCCGCCCTCTTCCATCCTCGTTTCCACTTCTGTCCCTCTGGGTGCAGCTACGACTTCTGTGTGCCCATCAGACAATGTAAAGTACATTTCTTCTCAGGACGCCTGTGCAGTTGCTTTTTTTAAAAAAAAATCTAAAGAGAGGGCCAGGGTTGTGGCTCAGTGTAGAGCACTTGCCTAGCATGTGTGAGGCACTGGGTTCGATCTCTGGCACCACATAAAAATAAAAACAAATAAAACTAAAAAAAAAAATCTAATGAGAATGTCCCTCTGCCAAGGATCTAAGATCAACCAGCATTTGTATTGTATTATTAAAAAAGCAAGTACCTTTTTTTGGGGGGGGGCAGGGATTGAGCTCAGGACACTCAACCACTGAGCCACACCCACAGCCCTATTTTGTATTTTATTTAGAGACGAAGTCTCACTGAGTTGCTTAGCACCTCACTGTTGCTGAGGCTGGCTTTGAACTCACAATTCTCCTGTCTCAGCCTCCCGAGCTGCTGGGATTACAGGCGTGTGCCACTGTGCCTGGCATAAAGCAAATACTTTTATCGTTAATGTTGAACTTTTTCAGTGAATTTCTGACAGCATTTGCAATATTGAGAGGTATTCTGAACCCGGCAACAGAATGAATTTCCAAATGCCTCACTTTGCCTGGAACAGATGGAAACGGGAACCGTATGGTAACCCACTGCCATGCCCAATTCTGCCCAGAGGGGTGCCCTCCACAAACAGCTGTCACTTATCTCCAGATCGTGTATCAGGAAACTTGGCCACAGTGAGAACAGGACCGAGGGAAGTGCGGTGGGGTCATTTACCCTGGGGTCGTCCCGGGGCCAGGTAGCTGCTACGCTCCTGCTGGCCTCTGGCAGATTGCTTCCTCTCCTCCCGTGGTCAAGGGCATTGCTGTGGCTTGTGTGGCGTGGAGGGAGCACAGAGGTCCATTCTGCATACATTATGGCGTCATCATCAACATTTCTCAAAAAAGGGAAAGCTGAGATAAGTGTGGTTTCACGGTGCGTGCTCACTCTGGTTTTGTTAAACCCCTTGTTGTCAGAAGGATTCATTGAAAAGTGACAGCACAGAGCAGACACTACGATGACCAGCTGCAGGATCCCACCACCCACGTGCCCAAGTCCTGCCTCCCGGCTCCTGGCGACAGAGGGGGCGCCTCCTAAGTGGGGCTCCGTGCTCCTGCTTTTCCCACTGGCTCTTGAACCTAGCAGTGGCACAAGAGGCTCAGGCCTGGGTGGCTGGCAGGAGTAGCAGCGCTGGACTCTTCTCGCAGTGCCACCTGCGTAGGGGAGGAGGCCCACCTCGGCTGCTCAGGTCCGCCTGCATTCCACGTCTGGGGTGGGGTTGCTCGTGCTGTCCCCAGGAGGGTGCCACTGACCAGGGAAAGGGCTGGTGGAAAGGCAGGCCAGCTCCAGTGTCTCCCCGTCAAGCCCCGGCACTGGTAAGGACTCACCACTGCACCCCGTGGGTGCTCACGTGCCTAGACATTCTCACCCCACCCAGTGCAGGTGTGGCGAGGCTGGAGTACCTGGGGAGCGCTCCCAGCCTGTCCCACCTCCTGGTGTTGGGTCTTGTCTCAGTTTGTGGCCTCTGTGCTGCCTGGTGAAAGCATTTAGGCCTGGCCTGTGCGTGTGTGCACGAGGCCTATGGCAGGTGGCCGTCCCACCGTGGTCAGGGGGTCCACCTGGCTCTGCAGGAATATGGTGCCCCGGCCCTTCCACCACCATTCTCTGAAGGAGCGGTAGGTCCAGTTTTAGCTCCAGGGTGCCCCTCCCATGGCACCTCCTCTCCCAGCCTGAGGGGCCTTGAACTACTCCCTGTGGCTTGCCCTCATCTCATGCCCACTGCCTTCACAGATGGAGCTCAGCTACAGTGAGATATGTATTTAAAAGTCCTATAGCCAAGCCTACAGGCTTGAAAGGGAGCTGGGGTGCTGGCCTCCACGCCGGCTCAGAGCCCCGCTGCCTGGGATGGGGACTCCCACCAGCTAGTAAGTTTGCTTAGGGGCATGGAAGGGCCTCGAGATGCAGCAGGCTCTCTTCCCCTCAGACCTTACCCCTCAGATGTCCTTGAGCAGAGGCCACCAAACAGTGGTGGAGGCCAGCCTGGTGTGCGTGAGATGTGAGGCCACAACCTGCTGGCACAGGGCTGTGCCCTGCAGAGGGGTCCAGGGGAGGGCAGGGTGGGCTGATGGCCCCGTCTTCCCGGCACTGAGCTAGAGCCGCCAGCCTGTTAGAGCTGCCACAGGGGCCTGTGTACCTGGGCAGCTTGATGAGCTCCCGACACCCCTTGCGTCAGAGGCAGGAGATTTGGTTTTCTCACGTCGTTGGTTCATTCTTCCCTCACTCCACAGGTGGAAGCCAGCGCAGACCCACCCTCCAGGAGGGGACGGTGCCCTGGAGGAGGGGAGAAGGGCCGCGGCTCAGGACTGCAGAGCCACCTCTTCCCCTCTAATCCCTGCAGCACCTGCCCCCTTGGAGCAGCTGGGCTGGTGTGAAGAGGATGGATCCGCCAGGCTGGAAGTCCTCGCATACAGCTGGGTCCGCCTGGAGACCCAGGCATCCTGGAGAGGACAGTGCCAGTAGCCACTGTGCACAGCCTGGTCTAAGTGGCCTGAGTCCAGAGGGCTCAGCCCTCTGGGGGCCTGAGGTTGGACGTGGGTATGGGTGGAATGGGCGAGCCCCCCATGGGAGAGCCAGGTGAGAGGGACTAGCAATCACTTCTACTGAAGGGACCACCCAGTGTTGGGCTGCTCCTTCCAGTGCCTCTGGACAGTGAGTAGTGCTGGGCCCGGGGACCCTGGGCACCAGGGGGCCTTACTCTCTGGCAGTGTGTGGTAAGGTCCTTCCCGCCTGACTTGGGGGCAGAGTCCCTGTCAGGCCAGCAGCGACAGCAGTCTTGCTGTGGTTTGCCTGAGGGGCACGGTGCCCTGGGAAGAGCAGAGAAAGAGAAGTCCTGAGGACTGGGCCTCGCCCTGGCTCTTTGGCTCCCTCGATGGGTGACGTTGATACTGACCCCCTTGAACTGTGAAGCCCTTGACACACAGGAACAGCAACCTGGTCTTGCCTCTGTCTTCGGATGTTGTGAGAGGGACCTTGGCCACACCCACAAACCTCCCACCTGACAGCAGGGACCCAGGGACAGAAGGGACACAAGCAGAGTGACCAGCAGACCAGCGGCAGAGCAGGGTTCATACCGGGTCTCTGACCTCCTGGGTGGTGCTTTCTGGAAGTGTGAGGTTCTGCGAGCTCCCCCCGCCCCCCATCCACCCCACTGAGCTGATCCCTCCGTGAACATCTGGGTAAGAAGACGCCCCGTCAGCTATGGCTGGTGGCTGGTGTTGGGCTCCCTGACCCTTACTGCCCAAGCCCGATCTGCTCAGATTCAGCCACTGGGTGCCTGACTCCCTGCCAAGAGGACGCCCTGTGCCGTGTGGGACCGAGGCGGGCACTCTCTCCTGTCACCAGGGCACACGGTGCTGAAGACGGTTTCCAAGACAGACTCAGGATGCATTTTGTTTTTTTCTTTTAATCACTAGAAGCCTCTGCTCTGTTGGGTGCTGAGCACACCATATAACCCTTCCCTGGTCACCTCTGGGCGCCTGGGCAGGGGCTTCACTTCTTCGCTTTAGCTTTCTTTCCCTTGTTCCCTTTGTTGGGCTTCTGGTGAGTGTCCTCTCGCCCCGGATTGCCGGGGAGCGGGGCGTGGAGACTCATGGTCTTCCTCTGAAGCCGCAGGTCCAGGATGTCAAACGTGACCTGGATCTCGTACTGCAGCAGCTCCTGCAGGCACTTGATCTGGATGTGGATGGCCTCGCTGACCAGGCGCTCCAGAACCTGGGGGCCAGAGGCTGGTGAGCCGGGCCCCCAGGAGGCCCTTCCCAGCCCGCCCTGAGCTGAACACCTCCACGGTCCTCTCCACCCACACCGCCCTGCAGGCCACAGGATCGGCTGTGTCAACTGGCCCCGCTCTCTCTTGGGCTCCCCTCTCCCTGCCCATTGTCACATCTCCAAGTCCTATTGGACAGAAAGGGAAACTACTCCAGGAAGTGGGCGTGTCCTCCCGTTAGCCGTGGGAAGAGGGATACTGAGCCACCAGCTGCCATGTCACCAGGAAACCGTCTCTGTCAACTCCTGGTGCCATAGCATCCTGGAGACAGGGACATGTAACTCTTTGCTCCAGTTCCTGCCTGAGTAGCCAGCCAACAAAGGAGAGGTTATGCCCATCCAGGGGTGCAGGGGACGTTCTGGAATATTCCTTGATACATCTGAGATCTGCATTTTAGCTTAAAAACCCATGCACACCCAGCGGCTTGGGGGCTGAGGGAGGAAGACTGTGAGTTCAAAGCAGCCTCAGCAAAAGTGAGATGCTAAGCAGCTCAGTGAGACCCTGTCTCTAAATAAAATACAAAATAGGGCTGTGGTCGAGTGCCCCTGAGTTCATCCCCAGCACCCAAAAAAACAAACAAGCAAAACCCATGCAGAATTTTGCATTAGCCTCAAAATATCTGTCCTCGCCTCCTAGAATGAGACTACTGTTCTTCCCCTGGGTCCTGGGGACATGGGCTATAAGCTGATGCCCCATGCTCTTTCTGTGGAGCTTAGTGCTACCAGCTCAGGCCAAGTGCCAGGGCACAACGTGGAGGGGCCTCGGCTCATGAGCCAGACAGGGCAGGGAGAGTGGGCAGGAGGGGCTGTCGAGTGTGTAGAGAGAGCAGGAGTGGGGACCTCACGTATTCTGCAGCGAGGTCCCCTGAAGAGGACTGCAGACAGGCTGGTGCCTGGGTTCTACTCAGTCCCCATTGGATGTGTGTGTGTGTGTGTGTGTGGTACTGGGGACTGCGCTACTCTGCATGGAGCTCTAGCCCCAGCCCTTATTCTTACTTTGAGACATGGTCTCCCTAAATTGCCCAGGCTGGCCTTGAACTTGCGATCCTCCTGCCTCAGCCTCCTGGGTTGCTGGGATCACGATGGCACCACTGTGCCTGGTTCCTGTGGGATACCTTAATGCACTGAGGTTACATGGCACCTGGATGTGCTGTGTTTCTGGAGACCTAGCCTTGGATGAGTACCATCCATTCTGTCGTTTTAATTTTTCTTTAGAGATTTTCCAAATATGTTTTTGAATTTCAAAGGAATTCTTTCCTCATCAGGTGACAATTCAGAAACCAAAACCAACTGACAAACTACGAAACTCCTTGGGGACACACAGCCCTTTCCCCTGCCCCCCTCCCCCGTGCCCACAACACAGGCACACACCTACACTCGAGCACACACTCGTCCCTGTGTTCAAAGACCAGGTAACCAAGACAGTGCCAGTGCCTGTGTAGAGCTAGAGCTGGCCTCAACTCCCTCAGGCTGGTCACCATGATCCGAGAGGTTGGGGAGGCGCTGGCAACGGGGGCCTGGGGTCTTTGTACCCATGGGCAGGGCAGCTGTGTCTCACATCCACCACCAGACCCTTCTGGTCCTGCCTGGCCTCACCCCAAACCCCCTCCCTGAGCGGTCTCCATGCTCCTTCCTCCATTGTCCCTGGGCGTCCGTGGACGAGGGCATTAGGAAAATGTGCAGCGGCTCCGAGCCACAGATCCACGATGACAGCGTGGCAGAACTTGGACTTAGGGTCGGCCAGACCCTAGGCCCACTGTAACCTCTACCCAGGTTAGCTTGGTGGCTTTGGGCAGAGTAAGTTCTCTGAGCCTCATTTGTCTCACCATCAAAATGGGGACACAGTGTCTGCCCTGCTGGGAGGTGTCATGGCACCTGCAGGCACGGCCCGCGGGACACACCGGGCTCCTACGTGCTTCCGTGCGGAAGACGAGGCCGTGTCGGAGTCCAGCCTGTGTCCCCGTGGGAAGCGAGCGCCGGCAGCGGGAGCCTCACCTCTCTCCTCAGGGTCTGGTGCGGCTCTGCGGGCGCCCCCGCGGGCACCACCTGGCCCCCGAAGGCCTTCTGCAGCATGTGCGCCTGCTCCAGGCTCAGCGTCTCCTTCAGGAGCAGCATGTTGGTGCGCTTCTGCACCTCGGCCGTCCGCAGCTCGGCCAGCTGCTGCTCGTGATGCCACACCTCCCTGTCCGTGCCCTCGGCCAGCGGGAGGGGCTGGGGCGGCGCACACACCTCCAGGTGGGCGACCTTCAGGTTGACCTCCTGGTCCTGGCCCAGGACGTACTGGTAGAGGCGGTAGTGGCGGATGAAGGTGTTGTGGAAGTAGTCGCAGAGGGCCAGCAGGTGGGCCGTGCTGAACTGCCTCTGGTAGTCTCGGAGCTTGTTCCCCAGAATCGTCACCGCCTCCGTGATGGAGCAGCCTGCGGGCACAGAGGGCCAGGGGCAGAGCGTGAGCGGCAAAATCACACTGGTGGCCCGCTGGCCTGGGCTGAGGCTGGGCAGCTGGCCCTCAGAACCCACGTCCGGCCTTGATTCTGTCTGCCACTCGTCTCTGGAGCTGTGGAGCAAGCCGCTCTCCCTTTTACCCTGGCTTCCACACACACTCACTCATACACTCATACTCACACACACTTACACACACACCCTCCCACACACACACTCACACTCATACACGCACACACACTTACCCACACTCACACACGCGCACACACACACACACACTCATACACTCACACTCATACACTCATACTCTCACACACACACACTTACACACACACTCACACACACACCCCCACACACACTCATACACGCACACACACTTACCCACACTCACACACGTGCACACGCACACACTTACCCACACTCACACACGCGCACACACACACACTCACACTCATACACTCATACACACACTTACACACACTTACACACACACACTCACACACACACACCCCCACACACACTCATACACTCACACACACTTACCCACACTCACACGCGCACACACACACACTCACACACACTTTTCTGTTTTGTTTTTGGTACTGGGGATTGAACCGGGGCGCCTAACCACTGAGCCCTATCTCCAGCCCTTTTTAAATTCTTATTCAGGGTCTTGCCGAGTTGCTCAGGGCCTCGCTAACTTGCTGAGGCTGGCTTTGACCTTGCGATCCTCTGCCTCTGCCCCGCGAGCTGCTGGGATCTCAGGTGTGCGCCACCGCCTGGCCTGGCTTCCGTGCTCGTCTTCCCCGCTGCCAGTGGCCATCCGTCCTCACCTGTTTTGCACAGTGGCCCTGCCTTAATAGCCAAGCTTCACAGAGTTTCCTCGTGGACTCTTGAGGAGGAGGCAGGGTGCTGGAGGGGTCTGGTCTGAGGGGGGCATGCAGGGACGGCGAAGGCCCAGGCGACTGCTGCACTGGTGGCCAGGGCTCTCGGTGGGGCAAGGATCACTGACCCCATGAAAAGCCTCACCTCTGAGGGTAGTGCCTTGGCAAGCTCCGGAGAGGGAAGCACCCCTCCTGTCCCCTCCTGTTCCCTGCTGCTCACGGCCCTTTGGGAGTTTAAGGCAGAGGTCAGGTTGTCTGCAGCCCGTGACTGGGATTTGACAGGGTGGTGTCTAGAGCATGTGTGTGGCCTGGTGACACTCATAGAGCAGAGTCAGGGGGCAGCTGAACAGGCCCCATGGGTGTGAGCAGACATGGTTCTGACACAGATGCTGTCCCTGAAGCCCTCTGTGAACATGGCCACAGCTTTCCTGCTCCCCACTGTGTCCTCTGCAAGGTGGGAGCTGAGGCCAGGTGACCATCATGTCACTGTTTTAACGCCTTTGGTGCTCCAGGGCCAATAGAGGATGGCGGTCCAGCGTGGGTGATGGGGGCTTGCCTCCACCCTGGGGCTGGCTCGCCTGCACAGCCCTTCCCCGGCTCCCTCAGGGAGCCCACAGCCGGGCAGGATCACTCCCGGCTCTGCAGAAGGGGTCACTGCCCCACACCCAGGTCTCCTGGAAAGTCCTCTGCCCCATTCTTGTTCACACTTGGCTCCCTCCCGAGGCCGCTGGGTGGGTGGGGCTATCTATCCATCTTCCTCCCCCAGAGGCCTGGGGCAGGGCGCTGTCTTAGTGGATGGGCACTGCTCCACTGTGGGCCTCACTAGGATGTGCTGGGGGTGTCTTGGATACTCAGGCTGCGTCTCCCACAACAGCGTAAGGAGGCCTCTGTGCAGTGTGGTGATCCTGTTGCAGCACTGAAGGTCCCTGGGCTGGGCCACCCTCCTCTCAGGACAAACCTGCAGGCTCAGAACTGCCCCCACTCCAGCTGAGCTCCGTCTCAGAACGGGGTCCCGGGTTGGGAGGATTGGGGCACTGTCCATGCTTGTGACATGAGGCCTTTGCCTGCTCACATGTAAAATGCAGGACAATCACATTCATGTTGCAGGCCGGTTGGAGACCAGTTGGGGCCATGGACCAAGTGCTCCGCCCGGAGCCTGCCAGAGTCAGCAGTCACCGCAGGAGAGTGTGCCTGCTCTGTGGGAAGAGTCTCTCCCAGCCCCACCACCCACCACCCCTCCCTCCCTCCCTTCCTTCCATCCAAGGCTCATTTGCCAGATTTGCCAGACTGTTGCTGAGCCTATACATGGTTGCAGCCTGTCTTGGCAATGCCCTGGCAAATACCATCCCCTGCCCTCACGGTGCTCGCCCAAGAAAACAAAGCAGAAAATCACAAGGCCTGAGGCCCAGGTTGTGGCTCGGTGGTAGAGAGCTTGCCTACCCCATGCTAGGCCCTTGGTTCAATCCCAAGCACCCAGGGCTTTCTGGGGAAAGCTTGGGCTTGGGACTGCCATGGAGGGACTATCACCAGGGCCAGCGCTGGACCATGTGCCACAGGGGCCTGGTGGACATCGTGAGCCAGCAAAGCAACTCCACTGTGCGGAGTGCAGTGACGAGCGGTTCTTCATTCAGCTGACGCACACTGACTGGGGGCCTCTGTGCACAAGAGCTCTTCTTCCAGGCCCCAGGGAGTTCTAGGGAGAAGCCATACAGATAATCTAGCTCTGCACAGGGCCACAGGGGCTGGAAGGGCACAGTAGGAAAAGCAGATTATCTGGATAGTCAGGGAGGGGTCTCTGACATGGTGACAGAGGAGCCCAGATGGGCAACATCAGAGCTCTTTTCTGGGCAGAGGTGGGTAAAGGAGAGAGGGGCACTGGGGGCTGGCCCTGTCCACAGAGGCCCGCTCTCCAGAGCACCTGGCGCTGCCTCACACTGCAGTTCACTGGTGTGTGTTGCCCTGCGCCGGAAGGTGAGTCCTGAGCTCGTGGCAGCTGGGTAAGGAGATTGCCCGGCACCCGGCACCTCTTCTGGACGTAGAGACTGGTTGAATGAACCTGAGCCCGCAGGCAGCCACTGCAGCGTTTGCAGGTGGCTGGAGGCATGGGGGGATGTCATTCTAGAAGAATTACTCAGTGAGCCCCCCATGTGCTGGGTGTGGGGCACAAGTGGACTATGGATGTGGTCATCCCCTGGGAGGCTGCTGGGTGGGAGGGGCTCCCAGGTTCATGGGCAGCAGGGACAGCGGCTGAAGGCCAGCGGGGGGAGCGTGGCTGTGGGGGCACCCACATGGAGCTCCAGTTTCCGGGAGGCAGAGCTGGTTCTGGGGCACTGGCTGGGGACGGGAAGGCTTGGGAGTGACAGTTCGGACAGAGAGCTTGGGAGGAGCCTCTAGGCCACACCAAAGAGCCGGACTTTCCCGCAGAAGCCTCGGACATCCAAGGATGAGAGTCAGGGCTGCCCGGAGCTCGGGAACCACCGCGTCAGGATTCTGCATGCAGCTTGCTCTGGGCTGAGCCTGCGAAGGTGGAGAAGTTCACCACGTGAGCAGCTCCACTCAGAAGCCTGGAGGCTAAAGGCAGAGGCCTGGCGGGGTCCAGCGGGAAGGTGGAGGCTCTATGGCAGGGTGCAGGAATGGCCAACAGGGGGATCCCAGATGGGCACGAGGCCCTCGTTTCTGACCATCAAAGCTGGACCACAGAGAAGTATAATAGAACTCCACCGGGCGGCTCACTGGGCTTCTCCGGACTCCTTGGAGCTGAACTTCCAGAGCTGCCCTGCTTATGTTCCAGAATGGCCTGGCAGCTCATGGGATGGGGTCACTGGTCCTCCAAGGGAGTGGCCGTGCCTGCCTTCTGTGCCAAGGCCAGCCCAGCGATCATGCACGGAGCCCAGCCTGGTCGAGAAGTCTGCGAGGCACATTGTGCTGCGTGCTGTAGCAGACGTGGCCAAGTGTTCCTTGGTGGCTTGTCACCCTTGCGGGTGTCCGACAACCCCACTGTGGACCTTGTCCTGAGTCCACAAGCAGGCACAGTCCCTGGCTGGATTCTCACCGCAGCCCCAAGACACTCTCTGGCCAGTGCTGCGTTTCCCATCCGAAGCTGGCTCCTGAGACCAGCGATCTGCACCCCAGTGACTCAGAGCAGAGGGATTAGGGCTCAGGGAGAAGCCTCTGGCTGAGCAGATCTGTGCCTGCACGTTGTTCTTCAATAACAGGGAGTGGCCTTCATTTGCATTGGCTGCTGAGAACTTCCTGAAGTTGTCCCCAAGCCCCTGGAGGCCAGCACCTGTGAGGAAAGCTGCAGGAGTGGAGGAGGAGAGGAATGAGGAGGGGAGCGCGGAGGAGGCGCTGCGATGGCAATGCCAGCCGCTCCCACATCGGGCCAAAGAGGCACCAGGATGCACTGGGGGTCTCTGGGGCCTCCGAGGCTGCACAGCAGGGAGTGCAGGGGTGGGCCACCGGCTAGCCAGAGGAGGGAATGGAGAGAGGGGCTGCCCCCTCTGGGTGGGCATGGGAGAGGGAGCCAGCGTCTGGTCGAGCCAGTCTGGTCACCCCTGTCTTGGCTGCAAGGGGAAGACCACAGGCCGCAACCTGGCTGGCTTAACTTTGCCCCAACCCCAGAGCCCAGAGCTGGAGCAGGAGTGTGCGAAGCAGAGGAAAGCACAAGCCTGCCACCTCTGTCCAGCCCTGTCCTCGTGCCCCTGACTGCTCTGGGTCCCTCCCCTGCTCTCACGCAGGGGCTGCTGAAGACCTTGACCAGGAGGCAGCACCGCGATGGCAGGAGACAGACGTTGTCCTCTGGGTCAGGGGCTGCCATGGCAATGTGGCCCAGCACGCCCCGGCCTCCCAGGCCCCCAGCCCCTCCCAGGGCAGCGAGGCCTGGGTAGGCATCATCATTTCCATCTGTTCGAGAAATTGGCTCAAAAAGGCTGGGAGATTTGCCCAGGGGCATACAGCAGGTAAGTGGTAGAGCCTGAATTCAAACTCTGACCATGTGGCTCCAAGTGGCTTCTTTGTAGGAGGTGGATGTGGGAAGGGCCCCTAACTCAAGGGGACATTCTGCAATAGGTATTGCATCAAAATGCATGTTTCAT